ACAGCTGCCGGCAAATCTATTCTAAACCATGGCACCCTTACGTGGTAGAGTTGTATTCCACAGAACTGTCAGTGACTGGAATTTTTGGAAGTAGATTGCCTCTGGGTAATTCAAACCTCTAACCTTCTGGTAAGCAGCCAAGACTGTTTAACTATTTGCACTATTGAGGGACTTGGTATGTGGGGATGTATATTTTGGTGTGAGACCCAACAAACGCTATTCTGCAAAGTAGATTCTAGGAAACTGAAGAGGCAGACAAACTATAGCCCATGGGGCTAATCTGGCCTACTGACTGTTTGGACAACAACGTTGATAGAAACACAGCCTTGCTCACGTCTTTGAATACCTTCTCATACCATAGTGGCAGCGTTGTGGTCTTCAAAACATGAAATATTGTGGCCCTTTCCACATAAAAGCTATCCTATCATGTACTAAAGACGCTCTATGGATTTAATCACACCTTAAGACACTCCTACGAATGTAACGCTGAACAGTCTCTCGAATGATGAATATGGCTGTAGGCTAGAACTGACCATCGCAGCAAAACCCACCTCCATGAGTCAATGCCACCTCACAGCAACCCCACAGCACTGAGAAGCATTGCCCCACATGATTTCCAAGGCTGTCATCTTGATGGCTGCAGACGGCTACGTTTTTCTCCCATGGTGGCGGGCAGGTTTGATCTGATGGGTTTTGGGTTAGCAGCTGGGTGCCGGACCACTGTCTCCCTATCTGATGGCAGGTGCTACCAAACATGGATGCCGATTGCTTGACCTACCTCGGTCATAGGGATTTTTTTGAAATGTCTCTGCTCCTTGACCGAAACTGTGTCTAAAAAGCCGATTTACTTCTTTACATTTTATGCTAACGCTAACGCTAACGATGCAATTCATATAAACAGTATTGCAACTCACCTGACTCTGCCCCTGGGGCGCTCAGACCGCTCTGACATGAAGCTGGTGCTGCTGAGGTGGGAGGCACTGCTGGTTCGGGAAACGGCAGACACGTCACTCACATCACTATCTGATGACCTGGCGGAGACGTTATCACAGCTTCTGTACTGATCTTTATGTGTGCTACACTAAAGATGAAAAATAAGAACATGTGAGTTCCATCAAAAGGTCCTGGAAAAATTAGAGGCATGCATGGTGAGGTGAATAAGGATGTCAGCCACAACGAACAGAAGTGTACCTCTGTAAAAGTATGGGTGGGATATAAAATAATGCATTAATGACACTTTAAAGCCTTTCAAAACCACTAACATACTACATGATTGCCGATAGAAGAATCCTGCACCACTAGAATGGGTATTCATTCCCTAAGGCATGGTTTATCAAAATTGAATTGCAAGTTAAATGTAAAAGTTAAACACTCAGATGGGAAGTTCATTCATTTGTTTATATATAAGACATCTCAAATTCTATTATCCATGTCTTCTAGTGCAGCAGCTTCTCTTTCCTTTTTTTTCCTCATATCCTCTTTGAGTCATGTTCTACTCTCTGCCCCTGGTACACACTGCTTCCATCTCTCCATTCGTCATTGTTTCTAAAGCCACTCGGTTTAACTGTTTCAATCTCTACTTTAAGAGTGCCCGCTGTCATTCATACTACTTGAAAAAAACGTTCCTGTTCACGAGATGGGGCTGGCATCCATGCTAAGGGACCCTGACAAGAGCAACAGAGTCACAGATTAAAATTCACCTTCCTTTCTAGCACGATTTCATTAAATATTTTCAGATGTAAACTATAAACCCTATGTCTAAGAAAAAAATGCC